CAACTTGGGTCTCTTGCGTGCGACAATGAAGAGTCTAACTGCTACACCACCGACGCCCCCCTGAGCAGATTAAAAGAGGGTTCTTTCTGTTTTGTCAACAGAATAAAAACATAAATGAGTTTGTCATATCTGACTTGCTGCAAGAGTCCGCCGTAAGCTTACGGCAGTTGCGAATTACATTACAGTTTATTGTTGTTGTTACTGTTGTTGCAATCTCCAAAGTAGAAGAAGGATAATTAAAGCCATCAGTCTACACTACCACAGCAGAACCAACTTGATATTTGTTGAGATGGACAACATTTGATGTGGTCGTTTTCGGCATGCGTGAACACGTCAAAGGTTAAGGAACGCAAGGCTGGAATAACAGAGTAGCCTACGAAAGATCTGGGTTTTTTTTCTTTCTTTTTTAGAACTACATTGTTAAGATGCATTTAAACTAGTGGTTTACTCGATTAGTTTGCTTAGTTCGAGATAATTACGAATAATATGACATTAGATTTTTCATCAGAACTTAAAATTAGATAATTTTTGTTGTTTCCCCTGTCAAGGCCAAAGGCCAGTGAATCACCAGACGACCCCTCTGAACTGCCACAAGCGGCATTCCAGTCGACCCGACTTTTATTGGGAGGGTACAGGGTCGTTTTGTAGGACAAATCCAAACGAAATTATCACTGATTGAATAAGTAAAAACTGGTGCTCTAATTCAAGAACCAATTTCAAAATAGACATGCGACTTTTGGTCTGTTTGTTTCTGCTTGGATGGACATTCAGTGAGGTCGACAAAATGATAAACTCCTAACCCATTGGTTCCTAAGCTCCTGATCCTAATTTTACCCAAAACTTCGCCTCCCGTGACCTTCCCTGCTCAGGGAGAGAAAGCTTCAAAGCGAGAAAAAAATGGGGAAAAAAAGAAACCTCAGTAATTCAGCACAAGAATGTGATCAAAACGAGGAGTCTACGGGAAAAAACGGGCAGTCACACAATGGAATTGTGAGGATGTCAATTTTAACATCTTGCTGACTCATAACTTTATATTATTTGTTTAATTGGTGAAGTATTGTTTTGTTGAATGGGAAATCTAACAACAATAATCAACCAACAATTGAACAGAAATACAGTTATTGAGTTAACATGCCTTCAAAATTGTTACCTTCACTATTTTCAGTTTATGAACATTCACGTTATTCCCATGACAGTTCATAATATGTAAAAGGACGTTGACATGTTGATATCTCATTATGTGGTGTATTCATTGCACCGATCTGTTAGTGTTTAAGTGTTATCGCTACGTCACTTTTAGCTGATGATATGGATTGGTTTACTCTTATCATCGTTATTTGTTGTTGTTGTCTTTTTAATTGGTTGATTGGTTAGTTGGTTGGTTAGATATTTAGTTGGTTAGTTAGTCAATCATTCAGTTAGTCTGTTAGTTATCTAATTGACTGGTTGGTTGGTTTGTTAACTAGTTGGTTAGTTAATTAGTTAGTTAAATCGTTACTTAAAGTGTTCATGGTGTACGTACTTATTAATTGTAGTCATGAACCCCTCTCAAGGTTCCCACATAATTACAATAGCTTTCTTGGCCAGCCTGTTTATTCCAGTTTTTCCTAATTACCATTCCTCACTCCTGGGGACAAGTAGTGCCATCACTATTGTGCGCGTATTACGTTTATGTGCCGAATGCTGTTTGTTTGAATTCGTTCTGGGGTGAACAGTGGACTTAAAGAGCAGAGTTCATGGGATTGGAGGGTTGTTCTTTGTTGTTGTTGTTTGTTTGTTTTTGGGGGGTGGGGATATTGTTGTTGTTGTTGTTGTTGTTGTTGTTGTTGTTGTTGTTGATGATGTTGTTGTTGTTGTTTTGTTGTTGTTTTTAGGGGGGGGTTCAAAGTATACAGCGTCCAAAACGATTAGGTAGGAATCAAACTGGCAACTTCTTTTTGCAAAGTTCAACATCTGATCTCCTGATTAGTTCACATCTCAGGTGTACATTTTGAGAGTGGAGAAGTGGGAAAGCACTAACATTTAGGTTCAGAAAACGTATGTAGAAGATAAGAAACGGTGCGAAATGGATTCTTTTTACTTGGCCTTTCTTATGAATTTTTGCTCAGCCTTTCTGCAGCTACTTCTTAACTCCTTCTTACTGCTGTCTTTCAGCCACATCCTTCGTCTTATGGTAGGAAATATCTAACGCCTAGCCTTCTCAGATAAGGGCGAAATGTCTCGGAGGTCCTGTGTGCAAGTTGTGCTCATTAAAGATTTTTTGGAGGTTCAAAATCGATAAGAGTAAGCTTCGGCCGCCACTCGGGCAATGTTCAAAATTTCCTACCAAAATTCTTAATGTGTCCCGCGCGCTCATATGATCTTGTCCAGTTGCGTACGCCGTAAACAATTACCAAAAAGAAAAAAAGGGCAGAATCGCTTACTCCCGCCCGTGACTGAACACACTTGCCGATTCCTAATCTCTATTATGATATAATTTACCTGTCCCGACCATAGGTACAGGGGATGATACGTTATCTCTCTCGGTTGTGTCTAAAATTAGTCTTGCTGACCGTTCTTGTCCCAATTTCATGATGTCAGTGTAAAATATAGAACATTTGCAAAATTTTCCACTCTGTTTCTGACGCAAAATCATTTTCCAACAGGCATTTATATCACAAATGGATGTAAGTCGTTGATGATGTTGTACCATATTTTTCAAGAAGCAGCATAGTTTGGATTCGCATGTGTTTGTTGTAGGGTAGCATAAAACAGTATGCAAATGGAAGAATCTATCGTCCACCAAAATTTTCCAGATATCTGAAGTTTTCTAGATATGGTAACTTTTGTGAGTAAGGGATACAGCAACTATCTGGTACATTAATTTGAGGAATACGACTTTAAAGTTACATTTCGTTAGATTACGTAATGAACATGTAATTTAAAATCTTCCATAAACATAGTTTAAAAGAACAATTGGTGTATATAAGCGTGCTATATATAAATATACTGAACGCCATTAAAATGCAACGTTTTCAAAAGTTTATTAAAAAAGCCAAATATGCTTTGATCGTCATGATTTTTGAAGACGCAAGTGAGCAGTTGTTATTCCACACACCCATGCCCGAGTTTTGCTATTTCCAGGGGTAGTTTTCCTCACAATAGAGTAAATTATGCTTTAGTAAAATGTGTTACTTAGTTGTTATATTATAAAAGAATACAAAAGCATTTACCTTGAATATGACCCTTAGCTCTTTCCAAACAAAAGTTCCAGCTTTTTTTCGACCATTTAAAAAAAAAATCTTTTATTACAAGACTCCTTAAATTAGCGAATCTGACCGAATCTTTAGCTTCCGCCTTGTTCATGATGGAAAATCTGCCTGAGAAGCAGCAATACGGCTAAAATGCAGTGCTTGTATTGTTCTAAACTTAAACAAAGATTTAAGCACACTTGAAATATCCGAGATGGGCAAAGAATGGGACAATCTCGAGTGAACAGCCCTGTTCAAGAGAAGCAGACTTTGCTGTCGTATCCTGCGAAATCGTTTCGTTTCGCAAAAGTAACAGCCCATGGCATACATGGAGTACGTGAAAATGTTTCTGTCATCAGTGTGTGTGAGGCGTGAAGCAGTAAGTACAGGACTTAGATCAAGAACGCCTTATTTAGAGCTGCAATTAACAAAGCCGCGACAACAGCGCCGTCCTTATGGTGCGAAACTGCACAAAGAAAAATCAGAATCTCTCAGTCATCTAATACGACACTCCTGCCCTTACACTGCCCATTTAACAAATAACACAATGTGTGGAAGATCATAACATGAATGTCTTGGACTGGCCTGTGTACGTACCCAACATGTGTCCAACAGAGCACGTATGGAATTAACTGAACTGCAAAGTGTGAGCCGTTTTGCGCATCTGCAGCTATTGGGAGATCGCGCTGCTGCGAAAGTGGGAGAGAATTTCCAAACAAAACATTGAAGATGTTATAAAATCCAAGTGAAGAAGTGTTTTGGTCTGTATAAATGATTATGATAACCATAAGGGTGAGAGATTTTTTATTGAGCTTCCATTTGTGTTTATCTGCAAATTTGTCTCCCTGGGTTACTCCGAAAGAAGTAAGACAAGGTATCGAAATCAGTTGAAGTGTGTGATCAAATTGATTCACATTTGATGGAAATTAAATATACTTTAAAAAACACTTCTTTTAATCTATATTCATTTGATACAAACGGGTAGACTCTGCGAACAAAGTGTTGCGTTTTTAATGGCGTTCAGTATATTTTGTATATATATATAT